TTTGAAATAGTTTCTCTCTCTAAGAAATGTTAGGTACTTTCTCACTCTAAAATGTGATATAGTTACTTTTTCTAAAATTTTAAGATGCTTTCTCTCTAAAATTTTTAAGCAGTTTCTTTCTCTAAAATTTTGAGTTAGTTTATCCTTCTAAATTTTTTTAATTTTTTAGGTAGTTTCTTTCTCAAAGTTTTATATGTACCCTCTCTAAAACTTAAAATTTAAGATAGCTTCTCTATCTAATTTTTTTGAAATAGTTTTTCTATCTAAAAATTTAAGGTACTTTCTCTATCTAAAGGTTGATAAAGTTTATCTCTCGAAAGTTTTAAGATATTTTCTCTCTGCAAAACTTAAAATTTGATATAGTTTCTCACTTTCAAAATTTGAGATAGTTTCTCTCTCTAAAATTTCAGATACTTTCTCTCGCTAAAACTTAAAATTTGAGATAATTCTCTCTTTAAAAATTTGAGATAGTTTCTCTCTCTAAAATATAATATAGTTTCTATCTCTTAAAATTTAAATTTTTTTCTCTATCTAAAACTTAAAATTTGTGATAGTTTCTTTCTCAAAATTTTGAGATAGTTTACTTTAAAAAACTTTAGGTCCTTTCTCACTCTGAAATTTACTATAGTTACTTTCTCTAAAATTTTAAGTTACTCTCTCTCTCTCTAAAATTTCTAGTTTTTCTCTAAAAGTTTAATGTATTTCTCGCTCTAAAACTTAATATTTGAGATAGTTTCTCTATCTAAAATTTTTGAAATACTCTCTCTCTAAAAATTTCAAGTATTTTCTCCATCTAAATTTTGATATAATTTCTCTCTCTAAAGTTTTAAGATATTTTCTCTCTCTATAACTTAAAAAATTTGATATAGTTTCGCTCTAAAAATTTTCAAGTAGTTTCTCTATCTAAAATTTTGATATAGTTTCTAATATTTAAAAGTTTAATACTCTCTCTCTTTAAAACTTAAAATTTGAGATAATTTCTCCCTCTAAAACTTTTGCGATAATTCTCTCTAAAACATTTTATGTTCTTCATCTCTCTCAAATTTAATGTAGTTTATCTCTCTAAAATTTTAAGATACTTTTTCGCTCTAAAATTTTAAGATACTCTTTCTCTAAAATTTTAATATGTTTTGTCACTGTAAAATTTGATATAGTTTCTCTCTCTAAAATTTTGTTCTTCAGCAACAAAATGGATCATTTCCTTGAAATGTTAATTCTACCTATTTTGTTAGAATTGAGATTTCCAAAATTTAAGTTTGAGTATTCAGAAATCCCATGGAAATATCAATTCGAACAGAAATGTCAATTCTAAGCATACCAAATACGATTGCTATGCTTTTTCCAGAAAAAGTAACTCCTAGAAATCTGAATCCAAGGATCCAAAAGTGTCTTAAAAGAAAGAAACCCAAATATTTCATCCCCATTTAGGTACTCAAACAATTAGAAAACCAACCATACATATTACGAAATAGAAAATAAGAGAAAGGAAAGAGATGGACAAGCACTTCGCTTCAAAATTATAGAGTGATTTATGTATAGATCCTAAAATTTTTCTTAAAATATTAAATGCTTTATTTATTGGTGAAAATTACAAAGAAAGTCGTTTAACCCATCTTTTTTTATTTTTTTCAACATTGCTCCTCGATCCACCGACATCCTCTGACTGACTTCTAATTATTGTTTTTCAAATTTTAAAAAAATTATGGAACCAGAAAAATTCATGAGAAATTATAGAAAATTACGGAACCAGCAAAATTCATGAGAATCTAACCTTTGTCATAAGTAGATAGAGGGACGACGGAAATCTAAGTTTTGTTTCCCTCGGTGCTGTTTACTCTCTCTAAAAATCCAGTTCCAAAAGAGAAATGGAACGTTAAAAAACACATGCAAAAGAGAAATGGAGAAGGGTCAATGTCCGACTTAATAAAAGTAGATTATAGCCATCCAATGTGAAATTTGTTAATTTGAGTGTCACAAAATTTAACAAAAAAAAAATTTTAGATTTTGTGTTTGGTCAATAAAATAAATGCAACCACCAAATTTCATATCTAAAGGATAAGATTAATTGTGAGCACCTTGTTTATACTCTTCCTTTGTAAATTCAGCCAGGGCTTAACATCTTTTTCCCTCGAATTTAATCGTCATAATAGGACATAACATTGATGTTTTGTTTTAGAAAGACCACCACTCTCAAGCACCTAAATCCAGGGAAATTGGTGAGAAAACATATGTTCATTTGAGAATTAAAAAGTATAATACCTCATAATTTTTTTTTTTAAACTTTTAATACCCAAGAAAATATAAGGGGGAGAGAGAAAACGATGACCGGTTAGTGAGTGTCAATTGTTCAAAACAGAGAGATTTATGAAAATATATATAGTTAATCGAGTACTTAACATGCTACATATTTTTATTTAGGAAAAAATCTATATGCACCTTAAAAATGTATAATAATTAAGGTGCAGCTCTAAAATCCTTTGAGAAAGGTTGTTTTGATGTTGGAAAAACACCTCATTGATCATCTCAACATCAGATATATATAAATAGGGAAAAAATATTGATTTTAAGTCCTAAAAATAGTGCATCTCACCACACATTATCTGGACCGTTTATTTTTAAGATTTTCATGCATATGTAGATCTACTTGATTTCAAACATTTTTTTAAGTTTAAAATTTTATAATAGAGATAAAAATAAATTCTTGCATCATCCTAAAAATTTTCAATACCCAAATTAATCTCATGACAAAGTTTGGAGGCACACCTTAATTTGATTGCTTAAGGTTGCAACCTTATACAAACCACAACCCTTTTATTTAATTTAAAAATCTCATCAAAATATACATGATCATGTGTTTAACTGAAAAGATATTGTACATTATGAAACCATTTATCTTTGTTTCTAGGAGGTCATAATCACTCTTAATCATTAGATGTCAAATTGGATGGCTTAGAGTATGTCATGAAGTTCAAAATTTTTTTTTTTTTTTGTGAACTTTGAGCCTATTCAATAACACTCATACAACTAGCTGATGAAATCTGACGGACAGGAATAATTGTAACCGCCTAGTACCAAAATTAAATATGTTCTTTATGTATATTTTAGTTGAAATGTATAAATTATTACAAGTTAACAAATTTGATGTACTTTGATAAATTTCGCCAACAAATTCAATGAATGCATGCAGTGTGAGAAGATTGAAGGAGGAGCATGAGAGAGACAAGTGCAAGGATTATAAAAATAAAAAAAAGTATACAATGAGACCATTTATCTTTGGTACAAGATGGTCAACATTAATCTTGACTATTGGATATAAAATTAGATGATTGCATCTATTCTATTGACCAAGCTTAAACTTCAAAAGAAATTTTGTCAGACTTTGTGACACACCCATCTATATAAAAGGTAAATGGTCTCATTGCATATAATCCCTTAAAAATGTATATCCCATCTAAAAACAAGTTTGAATTTTAATATTACTTTTTTTTTTTTATTATAATAGAAAAAGTCATGTATTCAGGTAAGACCGGGCATGGCTTGAGCCTCAATAGTGGCATTTAGGCCAAGCTTGGTGTAGAAATTAACTTTGGGCCCAAGCCAAGTTTGGGACTATAAAAAATGGAAAAGTATATAATGAGACCATTTACCTTTAGTATAAGATGCTCACAATTAATCTTGACCATTGGATGTGAAATTGGGTGGCTGCATTTATTTCATTGTCCAAGCTCAAAGTTCAAAATAATGTTTTTTGAACTTTGTGACACTTTCAAGCTATCAAATTTCACGTGAATGATTGTGAATAATTGTGACTTCGATGTACCAAAGTAAATGGTTTCATTGTATACATTCCCATAAAAAAATTGGGCAAGGCATAGACTAGGTCTCAAGCCCGTGCTGATGTTAAATCCCATTTTTGGCCACTTGGCATGGCATTAAAATTGAACTCTTTGCCACCAAATTTAATAGAGAAGCGACAATAAATAGAAAAGCAAAAGAAAGAAAAAAGGTAAATTTGCGCCAAAAGAATCTACCATAGGGCATTATTCTGGTGCCAAAAAACTCACAAGTTGTTTACCTCGATGAGTTCGAAAAATAAATTTGAAGCAAAAATTTGTCAATCTTGTAAGATATTATCTGAGCCACCATTTATCCTTCGCTTTATTAAATTATAGGGTGTGGTTTGCATAAGGTTGCAGCCTTAAACAATCTAATTAAGGCGCACGTCTAAATTTTATTATAAATATAATTTTGATATAAAATTTTTTTAGGATGGCTTGAGAATCTATTTTCATATCTAATTATAAAATTTTAAACTCTAAAAATGGTTCAATCAAGTAGATCTATAGCACAAGAAAAGCTTGAAAATGGATAGTCCAGATAATGTATTGGAAGATAAACTATTTCGTAGACCCAAAATCTTTTTTTATTTTCATTTTAGCATATCTCGATGTCGAGATGATCAATTAGAAGTTTCTGACATTCAAACAACCTTATATGATAGACTTTTTAGGTGCACCTTTAATTCTACATTTTATAGTTGCAACCTTAAATAAACTTTTTCCTAAATTAAAAAGAGTACAACTCAATAAACAAAGATAAAAAAACCCAATAGATGCTAAGAAGCCTATTAATCCATTTATCTATTTACATTGGTCAATGAAAGTTGATTCAAATCTTTTTGGCAAGTTTCTGAAAAGGTTAATGAGTTGAAAGCATCCCTAAAAAGTGGTTTTCTTTATGGACGCAGTTTCTATGCGGCCAAGCCCGCATATGTAGAAATGCGGTCCAGCTCGCATGAAACAATTTCTTTTTCTTTATTTAGGCAAGTTCGAAAAAAGTACATTTAAAATTTAACCCCCTTTAAAAACAACCCGTTAGGTGTAAGGTGGCACAGTGGATGCATATACAAGAATTTTGAGTGCATACTGTATAAACTAGGCCCCTGTGGATTGTCTTTTTCTTTGTTATAAATGTTGGTGATTCAATGAGAGACCCTATTCTACTGAAGCATTGAAGTTTGTTTTTGCATTTATTCCAATTGCATTCCATGCATCCAATTAAAGACCACTTGTATGATCATGTCGCTCATCGCTCCATCTACAGATCCACTTAATGATCAATTTTTCACCAAGCCACTAAAGTTTAATGGTTTGGCTTGCTCCTTCCTACTTTACTATAACTGTCCACCCCATTGTGTCCTCTGTTAACCCGAACTGAATGCTTATAAGTGCAGAATAGAGTTGCCGAGAAACTTTTCCTACACCACCATACTCTATCCTGCAACAACATGAGAAAATATCAGCTAATCTATTGAGCAAGGGAGTAATTAAACAATGTGGGAGTAATTAGACAGTGTGAGCTTTGAAAAAGCTTGGAAAGTTAGATTCGGGATTTGTGGAAAGTTTTAACGAAATTTTACGTTGGCTGCCTACCTAACACAACCCACCTCCTTTATCCGGGCTTGGGACGGGTTAAGGGATTGGCAAGCCATGATTCATGTAACCAACCCCAAATAGCAGAGAAAAGGGTATGATGATGATGATCTTTGTAAAAGCTTATTCAAGATATCTTGTATACCAAGAACTAGCCAGTTAAGTCAATTTCAGGTGTTGAATCTAAGTGCCATGCAATCCAAGTCCCGAGACATGGTCTGGACTAATGGTCTTCTTAAAATACTAGGAATTGTTGTTCTTGTAACTATTTTCTTTGAAGAACAGGTGACCGTGTCCTCATAATCATTATTATTTTATATGATAAAGTACAATTCCATAGCTGAATCTACCATCTGAGGGCACAACATCTGAGTGCACAACAGATGTTGAAGTTCATTGTCAATATGCAAGAGAAAATTCACAAAATGCGGCATCAAACAGATCTGATAAGAAGCCAAGATCAAGATGCAAATTTCTTAAGTAGAAGGAACCATAAGGGATAGATACACACCTCTTACACACAAGGCTTTGAATGATTGATTCATATTGAAAATGTCCATGACCAGTTTCATACTCACTACCTCTAACAGAAAGTATGAAAGACGCAAGAACTTGAGCTTTCAAAACTTATTAAATGAGGTGAATATGTCTCACAAGTTTCAAATTTTCAATGCATAGATAGGGTACTTCACAAAATTGATTAATAAGCTGGCCAATAAAAGAGACACACATGGGAAAGATAACAGCTGAATTGATATGAATCAAACCTTTTCCCAAGATACGTGACACTGCCAACAGGAGAAACAACCACAGCACATCCAGTTCCAAAAACTTCATCGGCATCAAACACCTCCTCTACTGGTATACGTCGCTCCTCAACCTGCAAAGTTTGGGATTGATCAGGCAGAACCATGAAAAAGAAAAGTAGGGTTTCAAAGATGATTAAATTGCATTCCTGGCTGAAATACTGGTGTCCATAGGATATGGCATGGATCCCACTATCTCAGGTGGTACGTGCAAATGCTTAATGCATGTGATTGATGAGTCATGTCATTAGGGTTATTTCCCTTTCTTTTCTTTTCTTTTTCAAAACTTAGGATATTTGGTCCTTCAATTTATATTAGTTACCAAAGGGTAATTTTTGTCTTTCATATTAGTAGAAAATCCATGAGTACTTCAGTCTTTTTATTATTTTTATTTTAATGAACAGTACTTTGGATAATTATGTTTAAGACAAATTGCATATTCAGGGCAGAGAAGAACGTCCAACCCCAAGGATGTTTATGTTTTGCTATCTTTGAGAAAGAGAGACTCTAGAAAAGGCTTCTTGAATTATTTGACTAAAGGGTATAGAGAAGGCTTGGAAGACCCTTCATCCAATTTTCTTTCCCTAAACTCTTTCGTCCTCTCCATTCTGTCCCTTCATCCCTTTTCCTTTTCTAGAATTCATTAGTATTCATCCCATAGCTGCAAGTCACCTAACCTAGATAGCAATCCCCTTCCGGAATCTTGCTCTGGAAATTCGGAAAGGAGATCTTCAAGGGATCTTAATTTTAAAATTTTGGGATACCGATCCCGTTTCAATACAAAGATAACATCCAAACTGATGATTTTCTTTATCTATAACTAGCTAGTAATGCAACTTTTGATAATCAAATTCTTGCTGGCTATAAATAAAGAGATCCTTACTTCAAAGAGTATATATAGTCCTAGACTATAGGGTATACTATCTAAGGTTAGGAGAAAGAACCCCAAAAGGTTGGGATCTAGATCCCTAAAATTTGGGAATCTCAACCCTGACATGTGCATTGCACATACATTACTCCAAACTACAGGGTTCTAGTCAAGATCCCTGATTCTTGATCACGATTCTGCTCCAGATCCCACTCTCAAATCCCAAAGACTATGATTCTTACTATTTCTTTTTGTCCCTTATTTTTCCCGCTTTCTTCTTTCTTTAATTTTCCTTTCCATTTATCATAGTCCCCAAACCAACAAACATTTCCATTAAAAAATCCAATAAAACCTTAACAGTAACTCATAGATCCTCCTCAAAAATAACCCAAAGTAAAATAAACCATTACTTACCACCCTCAACTTCGAAACGACCCTCTGCGATTAATTTAATGTTATTCTACACTCTTTTTCTCTCAGGGCTGTAGGGTAGCTTTAAATTGATAAGAAACAATTTTATCCAGCTAAAGCAAGTGCCTAAATTGCATGTTGATTTATGCTAGTCTGTCTAATTAGTGTTGTTGACGATGACCTGAAAAAACTGCAGATATTAAACCTTATTCAATTAAGTTCTTGTAACTGAAGATTAGTGACTGACTGACCTTAAGTTATTGGTACCAGAGCAAGTTTTGTAATGGAGTTGAAGATCTATTCTTAAGTTGTTTAGGGTCTATCTTAGAGTTGTAATGTGTCCATTAGGTCTTTAAGGCATTGTCACTTCGCTGTTTTGTCCCTTGGATGCTGTCCGACTCGATTACATAGTGTTCCTTAGTGTTTCAAATGATGCCTTGAGGCTAATTAAGAGTTCTTGAAGCCTTTTGGTTGTTGTCTTATCGGAAATAGCAACATTCTTCAGGTGTCTATCTAGAGCGTGGGAAGTACCATTCCTTAGGTCTAAAAGAAAGTTCCATGGTGGGGGGTTAGGTGAAGCCACATTCCATGGCAAATCAAGGCAATGTGAACTAGGGTCATGATTGAGGCCATAGCTAAGGCCAAGGCCATGCACTTTGTCGAGTGAATGGTGCTCAGCAATAGTGCATCCTCCAAAGTCTTGATGACTCCCTCTTACACATTAGGGAAATTATGCAGGTAGTAGGTGTTAAGGTGACACTTCCTGTGACCCTCTCTACAAGGCTTGCGAAGATGCCAGTTTATATGGTTTTGAGAGAAGTCAAATACTACATGAGGACAAAAATGGAGTGTATGATGATGATTCTCGAGAAGATCCTAGGTGGTATCATAGGAGTGCTTCGAGGAGAGATTGAATAGAGCATCATCTGAGGTGGATGGTAAGGAGACATAGGGAGCTCAATCCAGAGTAGCATCCTGACAACCTTCTTTTCATGAGAAATATACAACATTTGCATAGATCCCGCTCGGGGATCAAGCCCAGAACACTCAATCCATTCTCTGATGAATCCAGCAGATTGCAAAGAGTTGCATAGGCTGGTAGAACTGCTAAGAAAAGGACTTATATGAGAAACCTTGAGTCCGTGCACAATCCCTGCACTCTTTAACTATAAAGAAAGACTGTACTTGGAGAATGTGTGTTGCGAGTAGCGCAATCAATAAGATTACCATCAAGTATAAGTTCCCCATACTTAGGATTGGTGACATGCTAGATGTGTTGAGTGGATCAGAAATTTTCTCTCAGATTGACCTCAGGAAAGGATACTGCCAGATTTGCATTTGACTTGGAGATAAATGGAAGACAACCTTCAAGACTCAAGCGCATCTTTGTGAGGATGCCATTTGATTTGTCCAATGCACCGAGCACATTCATGCTACAATGAACCAATTTTAATGACCACGACCCTGGTCATATTATAATATATTTTGCATGTATTTCTTTTGCCAAGTGTTAAAAAGGAAAAAAAAACTCATTCTCCAAATATCCACTCGTTCGAATGTTGAGGCTTACAGAGAGATGGGTTGGGAGAGAAAACCATGGTGTTCTGGTCTCTGTCTCTTACTACCCAAAGTTCCTCTCTTTCTCTACAATTTCAGAGGTACCTTGGTCACAAGGGAGCACCCAAAGCCTTGCAAGGCCACCCTGAGACAAGCCACTGTTGAGCTTAATCTCATGAACCATTATCTTGCAACTTTCTCCCTCTACGTTGGTACTAACCTCTTGGTACGAACATATTGGGGTGTTACGTTGGTACTAACATATTGAGGTGTTTTTTTGATACTTTTGACTCGTAGATTTGGTTATTCTCTACATGCCCTAACTGAACAATTGATGAGTTTGTTTCATACCCTCATAATTGCCTGTTTGGTATGATTAATAGCTTGGATAAAGTATAATTTGGATGATAACGGTTTGGGGATTTGTTTTGATGTTTTAAGGAGATCCTAATTACAGATTATTGTTTATGTTTCTTATGTGCTTGGAATATATATACATGAAGTGTTTGTTATTATTCTCAAGTGAATTTTAAAGAGAGGCATTGATCTGATTTTGCTGTAATCCATATACATAGCCATCCTAAATTGATCCTAGCATTGGTATCAGAGATTTGGTTAATTTCAATGGCTATTACAAAGAGTATTCTTTCCTATTTGGTGAAGACAAAGAAATTAGATGGCTTTAACTTTTCAATTTGGAAAAGTAAATTGTTTTTCTTACTGCATAATATGGAATTGCGATATGCGATTAATGATGAAAAACCTGCTGAACCTGATGATGATACAACTCTTAGAGATAGGCAAAGGTTTGTTAAGTGGAAAAATGATGATTTTACATGTAGAGGTGCCATTCTAAATTGCCTAAGTGATAGACTACATAAAGTGTCTGAATGCAATGATAATGCTAAAGATTTGTGGGCTGCTATTGATAAAAGACACACCTATGATAACTGTGTGGCTAAGTGTGAGTTGTATGAAAGATACAATATGTATAAGATGAAGGAAAATCAACCGTTATTTGAATATTTTGATGATATGTGCATTATGGCTAACCAACTTGCTGGTTTTGGTGAACCCATAAGTGAGCATCAACAGATTATGAAAATTATAGAAAATCTCCCTAACTCATGGAAGTATTTAAAAAAAAAATTGCGTCATAATGGGACTATCCAAACACTAAATGATCTAAGGGGACACTTAAGGATGGAAGAAAATGATAGGGTCAGGGAGAAGAATGAAAAAGATAGAGACCAAGCCTATCTAGCAATGGCCAACAAGAATAAGAAAGCAAAATCTAACAGGAGATTTAAGAAACTTCCTCAAGGACAAACTCCTTTGAAATTTAAAAAATATTATAATTGTAATAAATATGGTCATATTGCCAAATATTGCAGGGAAACCGAGAAGAGGGATGCTGGACAAGCGAGTGGCACTAAGGATTTTACCTTTGTGGTTGACGAATCTTGATGGTGAGCTCCCGTGGTGAGTGGACTCGGGAGCTACTCGGCACATTTCCAACACCAAGAACAACGTGATAGACTTCAAAGAAAGGAGTGACAGTCTTTATATGGGCTCGTCTAGCATCAACATTCTTGAAGAGGGCACAATTAGACTTCCACTTCCAACCGGTGGCATTTTGACTCTTACTAATGTATTATATGCCCCAGAAATGAGGAGGAACTATACTTTCTCTCTCTAGGATTGATATTAGTGGAAGTGATGTTTATGTAAAAGATGGAAAAATGATCATTAAGAAAAATGATGTTTTTGTTGTAAAAGCCACTATGGTTGGCAATATGTACAAGCTTGATCTTGATAATAAAATGAAAAGGCCATTTGCTTATGATGAGTGTTTCAATATTTGGAATAGAAGGTTTGGTCACATTGGTTATGAAAAATTAAATAGATTAACGAGAGAAAATATAATCCCTTATTTAGAAAAGGAAAAATTCAAATGTGAAAGTTGCTTAAAGGGAAAAATGCATAGGAGATTATTTCCTAAGGGTAAAAGGGCTCAAAACTTACTTGAAATTATCCATACTAATATTTGTGGTAAATTAAAACCCAAAAGCCTTGGTGGGTGTGAATATCTTATCACTTTTATAGATATTCTTACACTTATTTAATAAACCATAAAAATGAAGCATTAGACAAATTTAAGAAATATAAAGCCAAAGTTCAAAATCAATTAAATAAGAAAATTAAAATTCTTAGGAGAGATAGAAGAGGAGAATATAT